AGAGAGAGAGAGAGAGAGAGAGAGAGAGAGAGAGAGAGAGAGAGAGATTCCTTGTCAAAAAAATATGCCCAGAACTCAAACCATCTAAGTTTTAGACAGCAAATTTAAGTGTTTAGATAATCTAAATATTATACTCATTTTGTGATTCTAAACTGCAATTTGATATAAAAAAAATCATCCAAAATAGGTAATATACCGTTATAATAAATGTAAATTTTGCTGCCTACATTAACCTTCTTAAGAACAACGATCCTGATTAGTAAACAGAATTTCATAACTTTCATTACAAACAAAATAAAATGAAAATCACGGTAACCATTCAAGCTTGTCATTTTTTAGAGCGGTTCACACTTGTCATTATCGAACCCATATTCCTTTACATTAATGTTTCTCCGAAAAAAAAAAAACCATTTTGATTATCTTATTTTTATCCTACTTGGCCACAAAAACATTACATGTTTGGTTATTTGTTAGTGGTTGTTGAGCCACCAAGGCTTCCAAATATGAATGAAAAAGTTTATATAAGGTTGCAACCTTATAATGTAGAGCTACGGATGCACCTCAAAATCCATCGGAAAAGGTAGTTTTAATTTGAAAAACCCTTTGATTGATCATGTCGACATCGAGATATATGATCATAAAAAATAAAAAGATTTTAAGTCTAAAAAATAGCGCATTTTACAATATATTATCTACACCGTCCATTTTCAAGACTTTCATATATTTATAGATCTACTTGATTTTAATTATTTTTTAAATTTAAAATTTTATAATTAGATATAAAAATAGATTTTGAGATAATCATAACAACATTTAACATCAAAATTATATACCATTATAAAATTTGATGGCACACCTTACCTCTACAGCTACGGATGCATCGGTACTACGCCAACTGCACCCAATATGAATAGGTTAGTGGCCTTAGACAAGCATGTTATGATCTGGTCCCTTGCCTCTACTGTAGCACATAACAAAATACCCTTTCATCTTTTTATATTTTCAATATCAAAAGGGCTTGTACACAATGGTATGTACATGGGCCATAATATACTTCCCCAACTGAATATATTGGCTACTTTTACTTCTCTTTTTTTTTTTTGGACATTAACCGGATTTCATTGAGTGAATAAAAGGTACAACGTAGATCAAACAAAAGATAAACAAAAAAAAAACAAGCCAATACATAAAAGAAAGAAACAAAGGAATCAAAATACTGTAGTAGCATTTTAAGTTGTGTGGGCATGTTGGTTGACCATATTGTAGAACTCAAGACGTTATATTGTAGTACCTAGCCACCCTGACCACCTTATTTTGTGCCCATTCCTTAAACGAGTTTAATCTTGATGTCAATAGGGCTGTCAAATAAGTGAGTTTGTTGTCTCGTTTGGGTCTCAATGCACTCCCCAAAACCCAGCAAGACTGTAAGGTTTGGATTTGATCTATGGATGCAGACCAGCATTGGGAGTCCAAACCCCATCCCGAAGTATCGAGTCCAAGGCTGGGCCACGTTTAGGCGGCCGTAAACGGACCCAAATCAAGGTCTGGCTAGACCACCCAGATCAAGTGAGGCAACTCCACTCCGGATCTAACAGACCTAGACCCCACTAGGTCCCAGTTTGATTCTGACCTGGTAGGGTCAGGTATAGCCCTTGCTGTGAAGTCCTACTTGATTCTTTATTTGATTGAAGACAAAGATAAATGCGGACGGACCTGTTCATCTCAGCAACTGAAGCCCTGAAAACTATGTTAGCCGAAATTTTAGAATCCAAAATTTTAGAAACATATTTGTATTCACCTTGTAATCAATCTCCACGAAGTGCAACATGGACCGACACAGAAGTAGAGTTCAATGTTACACCATATTTTTTGGGCCTCCAATTGCCTAACTGCGTGTTAAGTTCATCACATTAGAGCTCATCATCTCTTGCCATTGATGAAGATATTGGTGCATTTGAGTTTTTCAAATCGATAGCATTGCCTTTTGGACTGGAATTCCAACAAGTGTATTGTGGGGTAATCTCATCAATCATCCACATCATTACATGTGAAAGGCTAGTCGAGGTTAGCTGGTGTTCACTGATGAGACTTAAACAGCAGGACTATGGTTCATCACCACTGGCAGCTTATAAGATTGGATGGTGGATTGAGTGTCTGAGCACTAACCTAGTGTATATTTTCCCATTTTCATTTAGGAAACAGTTTATACAAGGTTGCACCTCCAAAAATCCACAAAAAAAAAGGCTGTTTTTTTTTTTTGGTCCTGGGTAATTTAGTGGGAATGACGAGCCCCTATCTGTTTTCTAAATCTTTAGTGATTTTTGAAGGCTTTAGACGCGAATGGAAGCCTAGACCCTAGCTAGGACACAAATAGTGGTACCACCACAACCCCAACCCCAGTCTTGAAAAATAAAAAGCTTTTGATATTGGAAACCCTCTAATTGGTCATATCGACATCAAGATGTATGAAAATATATAAATAAAAGTGCATCTTAAAACACATCATCTGAACCATTCATTTTCAAGATTTTCATGCGTTTGTAGACCTACAACAACTTTGGTGCTCAAAAGTTTATAATTAGAGATAAAAACAGATTCTCAAACCATCCTAAGAATTTTGGACAAAAAAAATATACATGACAAAATCTGGAGGTGCGCAGTACTTTGATTGTTTAAGGGCACCCTTTGATTTATACTTGAGGGTTAAGTTTATATTGAAGCAATGGATAGAACAATTTATGTTGCGAACAAGCCATTTTAAAACAAGGAAAAAGTTTATATAAAGGAGCAACCTTATAACGTAGAACTATGGATGCACCTCAAAAATCCATCGGAAAAAGGTAGTTTTAATATTAAAAAACCCTTTGATTGATCATCTCGACATCGAGATCTATGACCATGAAAAATAAAAAGATTTTAAGTCTCAAAAATAGTACATTTTACAACATATTATCTACACCATCCATTTTCAAGATTTTCATATGTTTATAGATCTACTTGATTTTAACCATTTTTTAAATTTAAAATTTTATAATTAGATATAAAAATAGATTTTAAGATAATTCCGAGAACATTTTACATCAAAATTATATACCATGATAAAATTTGAAGATACACCTTACCTCTACAGCTACAGCTACGGATGCATTCGTATGCCAACTGCACCCTTAAAACAAAGGGTGTGATTCGTTTAATTAAATTCATGCAAACAGAATAGAAATACAGATAGATCAGAAACAACTTCAGAGAAACTTGCAGGAGAAAAATTAACGGTTACTTGTATTCTAGAAAGTATCCCGACTGTTGTCCATTCTCATCTCTTTCTTTTTTGGGTTGTTTGGTAGTGATATTTAAACTTGGGATGCAGCGTTAACAATGGTCTCTTGCAGTTTCTATCTCTAAATATTTTCCTCTAAAAAGATTTTTGCTTTTTATTAAATTTTCCTATGAAAGACTTCCAAGACCTCCACTTCCTTTTGAATTCTATTCCTACGCGTTACTCTTTTTCTATCTTTCGGGTTTTCGCCGACGCTGCGAGTTTTCTGAGTACTGGATGAGTTCACTTGTTTTTGCCTCTGTCCAAGTCAGGGACCTATTCAACTATTTGCAAGAGCAAAAGCCAACAAAGTAAAAAGGAAAGAATTAAGAAAGCACCACACATAGTGAGGCTCAGCAATGATGGACCTCATGTTATAGGCTTAAATACGTCGACCAATAAAAAGTAGCAGTAAATTATCCTTTTCTTCAACAGACAGCAAGCAAAGAGAAAACTAAAGTTCAACATAATGGAGAAACAATGCATAAGAAGACAGAAAAGTATGCAGAACCACAAAAGCAGCCTTTAATTTTCATCCGAGAAAACATATCAATATATCATGACTTACAGTGGAAACATTACCAGTCCCTGAAGCCAAAGTCCAAAAGTCTTGATGCCATGTGATCTCATTATTTTTCTAGAGTACACGGGGAACTTTTTGCCAAACAGCATGATTTATTCGAGAAACCCAATTGTTCAGTCGAATCTCCGGCATAAATGAATTTCCCAAGGTTGACAGGTCAGAACAGGGTAGCAAGAGGCCCTACGAGAACAGGATAATGTTGTAGTAGAACGAGGTAATGGAGAGAGACAGTAGTTCACTACTTAATAATGTTACACAAACCTATAGCCCGGCAAGGAAAGACATATGCTACCACTTTGGCATGGCAAAGTCCACAAGATTGTCTGATATTCAAAATTTTCAAGTAATGGTTTGAAGCACTTGAAGAGTTCATTGACATGTCTTCTAATTTCAAGGCATTTTGTCTTGATTTTTGTAAAAAATAAAACAATAGGAATAACAGAAGGAGCTAGGTAACATGTGAACATCCAAAGGCAAATGGCAGTGAGCAAGATGGTGCAAACCACCATCCCATACCCTTTCTTGATCAACTTATCAGGCACTTAATACTACATATTGAAGACAAATCTATACCCTTTCTTGATCAACTTATTAGTCACTTAAGACTACATATCGAATACAAACAGTTGAATCCACAATTTTACTGTAACTGTGGTAAATTGGACTACAATATGAAATTTTTCAAAAATGGATTGCAAAATATCGAATGAATAAAGGTCTTCATGGGAAACATTAAAAAAAATCCTGGCAAATAATGGAAAGAAATGAGTGAGGCACAACTGTTTAGACAACATAATAGATATAGCGGCATCACTTTAGTTGCCGAACAAGGCAACGGCATAAACAGAAGTGAAAGGTATTTCCTTTTACTATGTTTCCCTCCATGGTCTGGTGCTCAGAGCATTGAAAGTATTTTCTCCAAGATAGTCATAGCCAACCCTTAAAGACCCAGATTGTACAGAAAAATAAATTTATAAAAAATACTGAATCTTGCAACCCATTCTTGTTGAAACCTGAGGGCAGGAAATCATCTCCCAATTTCATGTAACTCAACCTACCAAACCCACCACCATTGATCAAAGAGACCATATGTCAACTAAATTATGGAATGTAATGGTAAGGGGTTACTGTAATCATAAATGATTTTGGATAACATTAAATGTATCAGACATACATTTGTAAACTTGTCTTCCTTAGACATTAATTCTCTGTCAGACATTCAATTTTTCTCTATATGTTATAAGGATTCTGGTATGCTTTTACCATTTTCTAAAGCATCATTGTTTCTTATTTATTTGAGCTTGAAATAAAAAGAGTATCATCTAAAGCTTTAGTAAATGGGAACCTCTTCAGGCCTAACTCCATTGTATTTTTTGCAATATTGTTCTGCATTAGGAGATGGAAAAAAGGGAAAGTTATAGAAAAGGTACTAGAAAAATATTGATGAAGCTTCCGAAAAGGAAAGCATTTGCAGGAAAAGGATACTAAGAACATAAGCAAAGCAATTATACACATAAAAAAAAAGGACCCGAACACTGGACTTATATGTTGAGAATTCTGAGCTCTTTCTTAGGGAAAAGCAAAGAGAAAACAATAGATAGGAGCAGGAGAATCTGTAGAACGATGATTATAATTATCTTTGTCACTAGTGCCGCCTTTGAACTTGCTATTCATAATCTATCTTTGTTTCTATTGTATCACTGTGAATCTTATCAAAGCGATCACATTTGTTTGTGCTGCAAATTCTGTATTGTACAATTGAGTGCTCATTAAGCTAAACTTATTACCATGTAACAACACTACAGGCAAGTAATTAAAGAATTAAACCATGCAATAATAAACTAATATATAAGCATGAATGGATCCATCACCAACTAAAAAAGTTCAGCAAAGTGAACAAAGGAGATCAAAAGAAACTCAAACAACATTCCTCCTAAACTGTCCTTAGTCATGGTATCTGAAAGATTTGACACAAAAATAAATAGATAAATAAAAATAAAAAATAAAAGAGATCCAGGGATCTCAAGAACTATGTTATAATATAAGAAACACTCAAATTGCTGACTAGGACCCAACATCATCATGCCTATCAGATTGCATAAAATCTATTGCAGACATGCTTTAAACCAAAACGTTACCACAAAATGTTCTTCCATAAGATTTGTTTGAGCTCATAGGACAAGTTGAAATGAAACAATATTTTGTTTTTCTTTTCTTAAAATTTGTAGAAACAGTTCTGTATAAAAAGGAAATGTACCATTAAGTTCATTTTTTTTTTTGAGAAGGAATGTACCATTAAGTCCGTCAATGAACTTCCTCTGGTTAGGAGAGCCTGAGTCAAAAAAATTCAACCTCGTTGCCTGAGATAAGGTCTACCGATCGAAGCCTTAGGGAGGACTTGGGATTCGTTCCCTGAGAAAGCAGAACCTAACTATGTTGGGCAAATGGCGGTGGCGCTTGGCAAACTCCCCTAATCTGCTCTGGTCACATGTGCTCCGACACAAGTATAGAATCCCATCTGAAGTCTGGCTACCAGAGGGGAGGTCCCACAACAGACCCTTGGGAGCTTGGAAATCGTTCCTATCAATCTTGTCTACTTTTAAACAATCCATCAGGTTCCACCCGAGGTCTGGCAGTAGGGTTCGATTTGGTCAGACCTTGGTTGGGACACACTCCTCTCAAGGATCGTTATCCCTCATTGTACTCCCTTACCACAAAGCCGCTAGCCTCGATCTCGGAAGAACTTCAACTGATAGGTAACAGAAGAGTTTGGAACCCCTCTTTTAGGCGACCTCTTTCTGACGTCGAACTCCTGGAGTTCATCCCCCTCTCAGCCCTGCTCAATGATTATTTTATTCCACCTTCAGGACCGGACAGGATCATATGGACGCTAGATGCCTCCGACTCCTTGTCGGTGTCCTTGTTCTATAGAACATTACTACCATCTCACCCCTCATCCCCTTCGGTAGCTTACAAGGTATGGTCATCAATAGCGCCACCAAAAGTGCAAGCGTTCAATTGGATCGCTTGTGCGAAAAAAGTGCTAACAGTGGACCAACTCAAGTGAAGAGGTATCCCTTTTCCGAATCGATAAGCCTTTTGTCTATAAGAAGAAAAAAACCACCCTCACCTATTCATCCACTGCGATATAGCCCATTACCAGTGGAGCAAACTCCTTAACCTTTTCGGCTTGACCTAGGTCATGCCAGCCTCCATCACTGGACTTTTTAACCTAGCAGACTGTCTACCGTGGCCCAAAGCTGGGAGGCTCCTTTGAAGGCAGCGACAAAGGCCACAATTGGACTTTATGGATGGTAAGGAACACAAGAATTTTTCGAGGAGCCCATTGCAATAATCCCGCCTTATTCCACAAAATCCACACTCTCATAACTTTCTGGGCCACTAATCACAAGGCCTTCAAGTACCTCCCTTCCTCTAACTTCTTAGTCAACTAGCCACAATTACTTCTGCATCAGCACACTCGACCCACACGCCATGTGGGATGGTCTCCCCCTCCGTAGGGTGCAATTAAGTTCAACTTAGATGGCTGCTCGCTTGGAAATCCTGGCCCCTCAAGGGTTGGGGGGGTGTTTAGAGACTACCAAGGGAACACCTTGGCACAGTTCTCCAGACACATAGGCCACGCCAATTAACAACTGGCGGAATCCCTCGCCTTGCTTACGGCATCAAACTCTTTGATCCTGCATGGGTTCAACCACTTCTAGTGGAAGGGGACACACGGAATTTAGTCTCTTGGGCTGCAGGTCTTGTTTCTCCTCCCTGGTACCTCACTACGATTTTTGACGAGATATCTTACCTCTACAAGGATATTCCCGTCTCATGGACAAATATCTGGAGGGAATCAAACGCACTGGCAGACCATCTAGCTAAGGAGGGTGCCATCACAAAAGCAGTAGCCACCACCTAAGCCCGGGAGACCTTCCCACACGCGTTTCTTCATTTCAGTTTGTCAATACTATATTAAGCTCTGCCCGGTCTGGCACTTAGCTTCCAAAGCCTTTGCAAACAGAGCCCCTACCTCTGTTTTTAGGCATTGTATTACCCAACTTTTCTAGAGCACACTTTGTACAACAACTACTCTCATAGGTGTTATAAGCCTTCCACTGAGAGGACCGACCCGCGGGTGAGACAGTGAAATTTAGATCCTCATAAGAATTGTTTCATCTCTATCAAAGCTAGTGCAAATGGACACTATAACTGTGAACCGAACCTGTATAGGTAAGGCAATTCTGAAGACGGGACAATTTTAGGTGGCAAACTAAATTTAGGCATGCGAAAGACAGAACTTTTGTTAAGTAAAACATTGGCCCGATGATTAAAGCAAATGGATGGGGAGAGAGAGAGCAAAAGATATTGAACACCTAAATAACTGTTTGCCATCAATCTTTTTGCATAAGATTAAATGCAATGCAGAGAACCAAATTTACTTCACATAAAACAGCATTTCGAATTTTAAGTGCCAGACAAAGGTCAAAGGCTAGCTAAAAAGCTAAGCAAATGTGTAGATTTTATTTAGCCTTTTTCATGGACAGTTGGCAATTTTAGTGGCAGATTAAAGTAATTTCAGGTAAATTAAGATTGTAATCAGCCAGTCTTGGTTACCATTTTGTCCTCATAAATCTGGCTCTTGTTATTGCAAAAAAATTAGGGAAGTCACTGGTCCTTGATTTTTTTTGTCATTTTGAACTCAATGGTCCAATTACAAAAGAATTGGACCATATTATTGAGAAAAAAAAAAGGGCAGTCAGTAGGCCTAAATATATGCATCATTTTGCCTTCCTTGGTCCCGCTCTTCAAGAGCTGAACTACCCAGACATTAATAGGACTGGTCTATAAGCCTCACCTAGGAAGCAAAATGGTAAAAGATAATAGGGTTTTCATAATTTTTGAATGTTGTCCCCTACCAACCCCACAAGTACTGTCAGCAGTAAAGAGTGCAGGACCACTATTTTACATCATGGAAGATACTTTTGATCTGAAAGTGACAAACCAGGGAGGCCAAAAATATGAATGCGCTTGCAATGAATGCAAGTTATTTTGAATTCAGAAACATTTCACTGAGTGTTAGAATGATCAGACTGATGACAGAACCAATGAATGGTCAAGTCCAGTCAAAATTAATTCAATCCGTAGGTTGAAAGGGAATTAACAAAAAAATAAATAAATGAAAAATAGCTTAAAAATATGAAATATATTACATAAAAAATTGCCCAACTATGTTCATCCAGCCCAACTAGTTAAAAACGGTTGATCACTAGATCCAACTGGTCAAAACCAATTTAGCAAGAAATGGGCATTTAGACTGAGTGATCAAGATGGCAGAACCACACCATGATATAAAGTCATGCCCATTTTCACCAAACACAACTTTTGCTTTGGACCAAACTGGCCAAGCCACCAGACGGCAATCCGACTAGTTGGACCAATTGATTCAATCAGGTCCTTATAATAAATAATGGGTTTAGTTGGGCACTTTAAGATCTGAATTATGGGGTAAATTTTAACAAGGGACCAGACAAGCCACCAACTAGACATTGCATCTATTTAGTGAACCAACTTTTTGACATACAAGTATCCCATGGATTGCCTCCCCCTACTAGCCACGAAAAAAATAACTACTTGAAATTAATTAAGAAGGTATTATGACTGAAAATTTATAGGTTTCGAGTCAAAATTACTAATTTTTCTCATCCATAAGGGAAAAAATTCTTCCAAAATAAAATAAAATAATAATAACAAACTAAAGATTCATATGAGTACATTTTCCCCCTTATACATGAATGAATCAACAAGAAATAAAGATTGGCAGAAACACAAATAGAAGCTTTTCTGTCACTCCCATATCCTTTTTTCTTATTCTTAGATAAAAAAGAACTGCAAATAACAGTGAGGAACAAATTCTTCCAAAATTACGAATCAAAATTACTAATTTTTCTCATCCATATGGGAACAAATTCTTCCAAAATAAAAAAAAATAATAATAACAAACTCAAGATTCATATGAGCACATTTTCCCCCTGATACATTAATGAATCAACAAGAAACAAAGATTGGCACAAACACAAACAGAAGCTTTTCTAACACTCCCATGTCCTTTCTTATTCTTAGATCAAAAAGAACTACAAATAACAGCAACGAAAAGAAAAACAAAAGAAGAAAAACCAAACTTCTAAGGGAGATTCATGGGCCGAAGTCATACCCGGAGTGACTTTCTAGCACTGGGAATCCGTCGCTGAAACCCTGAACTTCTCCTCTTGGGGGTAAGAACAGGACTCAAGATCAGGAACCCATGTGCTTTTCTCTTCAAAACTGCTTCCTTTCTTCATAATTGCCGCTTTCTCACAAACCCCACATATTTCTTTTGAACAAAAAAGCTTCTGGTAATATAAAACCAAAGCTTCGTCCCAAGAGCTGGATGCTAGTAATGTGCTACCACCGATGACGCTTTCTGGTTATTTTTCTCACCATGGAAGCATCTGGTGCTAAGCCACTAGCATCCATGCAAGCTCCTGGTTCTAGCTACCAGCCATGAGAGCTTTTAGTCTATATGGAATGAAACCATTGAAGATTCCCGTTAATAGTTACCAGCCATGTATGATGTCCGAGCACTTGTCTTTGATCCATCGAAAGCTCTTCCTAAATGATGCCTTCACTCTTCCTTCCACAGCATAAACTTTGTAGCCTGCAACCCTCTTTCTCCTCTTCACCTCTGGGTCACTCAGCCGCCATGACTTACTGCCGGAGGAGCTCTTGCTCTTCAGTTTCACTTGGTTTCCACCATGACCATTAGCAGACGGAGCATTCTCCCCATTCACCATCTCAGTTCTGGAATGGTGATCCGCCATTTTTGAACGAGGGCAAAAGAACCCTGTCGATCCCCTTTTCACACAGTAAATTTAATTTTCTAAGTGGTTGTGTGCACCAAAAAACAGAAAAAAGGGAAGACAAAGAAGCACAGGATTGGGGAGGGGGGATAAAGGAAAAGCTTTGCTTGAATATGAACTGTTTTCTTCTTTTCTTTGATAATCAATGCTTGAATATGAACTGTTGAGCCCCTGATATGAATTTGAAAGAAGAACAAACGGTCAAGGAACTTAACTGAGCTCTCTGTTAAGCGGTTTAACATTGAGAATATGAATTTCAGCAAAGAAAAACGGTTTTAATCTAAGAAATGCACAATAATATAGAAAAAAATCATTGAAACGCAAGGGAATTCTCTGAGGATCAAATCAGGAATTACACATATAAGAATATCTGAGGCAACAGCATTGATTACGTATCTTAGCAGACCTGCAATTCCATGGAACTTTTACAGAGACAATGACCAGTCCCAAATCAAACATATAAAAGATATGGAGTAATTTCCAAGTAAAATTCAAAGAAGACACTGAAAAAAAGGCCAAAATAACCTACATATATATCATGACCCATAGAAATTCAAAAAATAATTACAAAAATCACTGAGTATAAAAATCAGACTGATGCCCTCCACATCAAATATATTCCAACATATCAAAAAAAATAAAAACACAAATGGACTAAAACCATGGAAAAATGGACTAACTTCCATGGAAAGAGCCAGATCCACACACAAAGGAACTGTAGATAAGCATATCTACACCAAAAAACAAAAGGAAGAAGAAGAAGATAATTGCAAAAAGACTAATAATACAGTAAGATTTCAGAGAGATCTTGAAAGAAGTTATTTAGCAAGTAAAACCTCAAAACAACTTTTTTTTTCTGATAAATGTAAACTCAGAGGTTCCCAAAGCCTAATCGAATACATGACAAAAGAGAGACGTGATAATACCTGATCAGGTGTATGAATAGCTTCAAAGAAACTGAAGCACCTGAAAATGACTTCTGGCAAGAGTTTAAAAGGGGATTGCAGGGTCTAGAGAGAGAGAAAGAACAAAACAGAGCTAAAATAAAGCGCAGAGATGAGAGAGAAAGACCCTGGTTACGGGAAATCAAAGAGAGTGATCACTGTTCTGGCTTTACAGAGAGGAGTAATTAATATAGTGAATCCATGACATTGGTCTAGAGAGAGAAATCCCTTCTTTCAGGTAATGGGAGAGATGGTCTAGAGAGAGAAAGAGAGTAGAGTTCCATTCATTTTAAAAAGAGGAAGTTAGGTTTCTTTGTTTTGTTTATTTGTGTACAAAAGCGGACACGTTGTGTGGCTTAAATTATTGTAATTATTGAGAGAGTAGGAAATCAGGGACCCCTTTTTTGACCGGGTTTGGGGGGACTAGGACAGCTCCACTAGGGATGGCTTTGGAAGCAATACTGACCCTGCTTTCCTTTGAAATATCTTGATTGGCCTTAGTTCTACTTTTTGAAAGTGATGTAGCCGCAGTGGCAGCAACATCTATAACCATAGATTTGGGGAAACTACAAATGGGACTCTTTGTTTTTTTCTGTTTTCTTTTTATAGTCTTTCACTAAAGCCAGCATGTATTATCTATAGACTTTATAAACTTGGCCACAATAGCCATCATGTCCAAAGTTTATATGCTTCCAAAGTGCATAGGTTGTCCAGCTTGTATTTTTTTGGATATTGTTAAGTTTTTTTTTTTTTTTTTTTTTGTCTAAAAAGGGCGAGGATTTTGAATATTTTTTGAACATGTCCCTGGTACATGAAGTGGATTGCGTTAGGTAGACATACAGTATAAAATGTTGTCGCATCTTATCGAGCATCTTGAACTTATGTTAGGAATGAAGGAGCAAGATTCATGTAGCCAACCCTAAATAATTGGGATAAAACTTTTGATGTTGATAATGATGAAAATCTTTTGGGTAAGTTTAAATACTATTAGGACCATTTATTTTGATGATGTATTCACCTAATTCTAGCCATCCAACTAAAAGAAAAAAGAGACATAATGTATACTATGTATGTGCTTAAAAAAATAACTTCTTATGATTGAATTAGAGACTTTTCAATTTTTGTACAGTAAAAACAAAGTTTTTTAAACTCATTACTTTTTTGAAAGTTCATGTCTAGTTAATCTAAAATGGTTCCCACACTTTTAGATCTAAAAAATCTTGTTAAATTGATCTTTAACCCGAGAGAGGTAGTGCATGCTATATGCTCCCAAAAGAGTATGCTCTAGAGCCTCTTTTAGCATTTCTCTCCAACCAAACCAACCAATCCAAATGAGAGAACTACAATTTCTTTGTTCCACTACCAGAGCATCGGCTCTGTCTCCAGCATTTTACCCAATCAAATCCCTATATCCATCTTACATGTAAATTATATTGGTGAGAATTTGTTTTTTTTTTCTTTCTGGTCAATCTAAACAATATAAATTTATAAATTCTATGTGTATAAACACCTTTGGAGAAAGCACTGTTTTCAATGTAGCATTCACCCCCACTCTAATAAACTCAAGTTATAAAAAGGTTTAGGCGAGTCTATACCAAAGTTAAAATCAAGCCTATATCACCTCGGTGCGTCTATCCCAAAGTTACAATCAAGCCTATATCACCTTATTTTCCTTCAATTTGCTCACCTAAAAAGTAAATCTTGATTGCAATGAATGCTTGATTTGGACCACATGTTAAACATAAATAGTGATATATTCTAGTAAGGTGAGATGAGGGGTGTCAATAGAAGAGGTAGGGTGGGCTAGGATTCAGTGGGGAAGACAGGCTTCTGCCCGTTTTTTCAAATAGATTAGGAGTTAGCTTTTTTAAGGTGTTAGTGGGGGTGGTGTTAGCTGTGGGAATGACTAGGGTGTGGACGTGCTACCACCACAACCCCAACCCCCATTCCCAACGATTTACTATTTTATTACGTGTGATATACACTTTCATATCTTGTTACATACTCCTTCAAAATGATAGATTAATATTTCTACTATGGCATTTCCAAAACAAGGATTTGTGAATTTTATTTCTATTACCTCATTTTCAAACTCGACTAGGGAGGAATGTGAAGCCCAAATTTGAAGCATTGATCTTGAAAAGTATCATGTGGCAAAAGCTTGATGAAGATATCATCTACTTGATTACGAAATGAAACAAATTGAGTGACAAGTAATCTAAGAGCAATATTTTCACATGCAAAATAATAGTCTAACTCATTGTGTTTTGTCGAGGTATTGAAAAAAGGATTAATTGTCATGTAGAGAGCACTAATATTGTCAAAAAAACATTGTGACTGAGGAAAAAGTACCCCAATAACGCCACATCAATTATGCAGTAGTGGATGTCAGAGATTGGTATTCAGCTTCAGCACTTGAACGAGTCATAATCGACTGTTTCATAGCACTCCAAGATATGCAGTTGGAACGAATATTGAAGCAAAAACCAATGGTTGAACGGCGAGTATTTGGGCTCCCAGTCCAATTTACATTAGAGAAAACATAAAACTCAATAGAGTAGCATGTAAGATTCTTATACCACAAAACTGTGTACCATTGAGATAACAAAAATTTCTTTTAACTACCTGACAATGTGCAATTGTAGGCGCATGCATAAATTGACATTTTGTTTTAACATTATAGAAAAGGTCAGATCATGTGATGATAACGTATTAGAGTATACCAATAATGCTCTAATAAAGAGATGGATCAGAATTCCCATAAACATTATTATTCATTGATAATGGTATTGAAATAGATTTGGCACCTAGCATCTAAGCATGATCAAAAAGATCCATAGTATATTTGAACTCCACCTAAAAAATAAGATACTTCTACGCAAAAAAAGCAATGACGGGGTCCAAGATCTTTTATTGTAAATTCCCTTCCAAGTTGTGAAACAAACCATTCTAGAATATTTGAATTATCATAAGTAACAATAATATCATCAATATAAAGGAGAATGATAATAGTGGCTTAAGTAGAGCAACAAACAAATAGAGATGAATCAATTATGCTACCAAAGACACAAAATATAATAAGTCAGCACTAAATTTGACCAAACAAGACCCAAGGTTTTTGCTTGATACCATATTTCCAAGCATGATTTGGATATTCAGAGCTCAAAAATCCAATTGGTTGCTCCATAAATATAGGTTCCTTAAGAAAGTCATACAGGAAAATATTTTCACGTCAAGCTATTTGATAGGTCAGTGACGTACAATAGATATAGTAAGCACAATTCGAACACTAGGATGCTTAATCAATTCAAGCAACTTGATATCCTTTAGCAACTAGTTTGTCTTTAAGTCTCTCTGAACTATTATTAAACTTTAATTTAGTTTTTTAGACCCAACGATAACCAACATCGTTTATATTTGGAAAACATGGAACTAGCTCCCAAGTGGAATTAACGTGTGAAGCTTCAATTTCCTCTTCCATTGCATGATGTTAACCCAGATGACTTAAGGCGGACTTAGTGGATTTAGGTTTAGAATGGATAGCTTTAAAAGTAATGGAGATTAAAATAGTGGCTTTAACAAATACTTTAGCTATAGTATGTGACCAACTATCCAATTGAACAAATATGAAGAGATGGATTTGTACAATAGGGAGAAGACATTACTTGGGTTGAGGAACAACTTCAAGATGGAAGATCGGTG